TCTTTCCCATCCCCACCAAGATATATTGGTGAAAAGTTACTGGGGAAGAGAGTTTGGTCCTTGCCAAAAATACCACTTTTTTTTTTGAAAGAATTTTGACTGTAAGAATTTTAGTTGGATATTCAATGACAGTTTTGCAATTCCTTTTGTCCCAATACAGTTTTATGCACTCACTCATGACAAATTTACTTTTGAGAGTGGTGTGAAATAATGTGGGTTAAACTGCTTTGTCCACTAAATAAATGTATATAGTCTTTTTTCCTCTAGGAAAATAAGAAAGTTTAAGTTATCTATTAAATTTCTTTTTGTCATGCAGTATTTGAAGACTATAGTGACAAATAGAAAGTGGAGCTCAGAAAAAGAGAGAACTGATTTTTGTGAAAAAGTAGTATGAAATAACATCAGCTTCTTTAGTGAGAGTAGTACAGCTACGTTTACCAAAACTGAACCCTGAGCTCCTGTTTGTTGGTGTCGTGAGAGGATGCTTACACATAGGACAAGGACCTGCTTCCTTTAGGCTTTAGTGTCACGCGTACCCACCTCAGCTCTTCTCCCCAGTACACTTTCACCATCTTCTTTTACCTGAAAATTTTTAAACAGAGTGTGCACAACTGCATAGCTTTCAAGCAAGTTAGATCAGTCAGGTCTAGGAGATCGGCCAACCCAGGCGCCTGAGATGTTTTCCTTCCAATCTGAGTAGTAGATCAGTCTGGGAGAAAACAGTGGTTCTATAGCAGGGTTGGGATTCTGCTGAGGGAGCATCCATCCCACCTCTAAACACAGCACAAGTAACTAGTACAAACTGCCCTTCCCACCCCAGAGATTGTTTTCAGCTGCCTGAGGAAAAGGCTTGGCAGAGAGCAGCCATCTCTGGTGAGGTGAACCTTAAGCCCATTATTATCTTCACACAACTCTCATTTCCTTCTAAAGCTGTAACTTAAGTGGGAAGGAAGAGAAAGTGCTGCTGTGGAATCACCACCCACACTGCTCTGAATGTTAGCAGACTGCAGCAAATTGATTTTCCTTCTTGCAGATGAGCCAAAGTACATGGCTGCATCAGAAATTTAAAGAATCTACCTCTATTATTTAATAACACTGTTTGCAACAGGTACACTAATGCAGAAATCACTGAAAGCTCTGAAAGCTGCACAGGCTGTTTTCCTGAACAAGATCAGCTTGATCAAAAAAAATAGACTCAAATAGTTGCCTTCTAAGGATTATGCTCAGAAGCAGCTGTTTCAATATGAAGCAGAAAAGTTGTTTCCACTGGATATTCTACCAAATGCTCACAGGAGAGAAAAAAGCAAAGCTCAACCTCACTTCTGCAGCATGCTTGGCAGCAACACATAGCACAGCAATGCCCAAAGCCAGGTGCATTCTCTTTAATAAAAAAAAAAAAAGGATTCTTATTTTAGGGCAGTGGAAGAGGAAGGAAGGAGGAAGAGTCTCCAGCACACTCACCTCTCGGATGGCACCATCACAAACCCGTATTACATTAAGGAACGTTGGCATGACCTGGGGCAGGAACTGCACACACTTCAGCCCAAGAGATTTGAAAATAAAGGTGATGGCCTGAACTACCATAGTGTGGTGTTGGGACAGGGACTGGTCTCGGAAAATCCTCATCAGTGCCACCATAGAGACAGCAGGATAGAACTCATCCAGAGGGAGGTTCCCCATGTTCACCAGCATCTCGCTGGTACTGTAGTCCGCTGGGAGAAAGAAGGTGGTGTCACATCTACACATTGTAGCTCATAAACCTACCCATTTGAAATAAATTCAGATGCTTACAGGAATCCTGGCTGGATTTGGACTCTGAGAGGCTGACGGCTGAAGCATCTCGTGACTGATCAATCATACCAATGTTCACTTTGTGTTTGTAAGGGTCCAAAGCACCTAGCAGCCCTAACACACGAATAGCCTGATAAGACAGAAACAAAAAGAACATTCAGCAGAATGTCATCACCAAGGCAAAAGCCAACACGTGAACCACATGTTTGGAATGGTCCTGAGGATTAAAGTGAGAAGATGTGGAACTAAAGTGACCACCTGAAAAAAACATCAGTGCTTTCTACTCAACTCCTGGAGGCCTTTTCACTGATGCAGCACTTCCACCCTCTTAAATCTCCTTATTATACTCTACTACCAGCTACAACAATGGTCTTTCACCTCCCTCCCCACCATCCTCTATCTGTGTGGATACATTTATTTGGCAGCTCTCTTCTGCCAAAACACTTTTAGAAGTGGTTGTGTGATAGCAGCAGTGAAGTCACCATCCCTGGAGGTATTTAAAAGCTGTATGAGGAGCAGAGGGACATGGTTTAGTGCTGGGTTGGCAGTGTTACATTAATAGTTGAACTCAACAATCAAGTTCTTTTCCAACTGAAACAATTCTATGATTCCATAGCTTCATGTTCCTACCTCTCTCCGGGTGCCCTGGTTCTGCTCAGTTTTCAGGAAGTTGAGAAGCACCTCCAGCAAAGTTGGGTACTTCCTGTATGGTTCCACCACATAACCAGTGCTGGCCACCAGCTGTCCCAGTGTCCAAAGAGCCACCTGGAAAGATCAAGCCCAGAGATTAGTTTTGACCAGGGAATTTATTATGTCTCCTGATCCATCAGTCATTCAACTTGTGTAAAGTTCCTTTGAGCATTTTAGCATCAAAGGGCAAACCACAGTCCATGGTTTGAAAGCCTGTTTTTTTTTAAATAAGCTATGGTAAAGAAAGGGATAATCACCAAAATGTTAGACCTTGCCAAAATTGCCCTCACTTAGATACAATTCAAACAGGCATGCAATTCAGTGAGTCCAAGCCTGCCAATACAAACTGCTTCCTTTTTTTTCTTCTTCCTCTCTCCTTTTAGCAACTCTGTACTATGTCACAAGAGACAGGCACTGCAATCCCTCACCCCTGGGCCACAAGAGAGACTTGAGTGATTTAAAGGTTCATTTTAGCTGCTATGATGGGACACTTTGGTGTGATGGGGATATCTCCTTAGAGCTTTGGTCACAGGGGATGGCAAGTTTAGTGCAGTTGTGGAACACTTACTTGTCTTTTAGCTAGCAGAGAGGAGTCCTGTAGCATGTCCATAATGATAATGAACAGCTCATCCACCCACTTCCTCATTTCCAGCCCACTGACCTGTGGAAAAACAAAAATCCAAGTCCTTCATCCAGCACTGCCAAAAAGCTTAACAACTGACAAGCATGGCAAAGAGGTACCTGCAGCAGCCCTACCTGTGCAAGCTCCCCTATGGTAGCCAGGACATTATTAATCACCCCTGGATTTGGATCTGGGTCAGGATCCTTCAGTTTCACAATCAGTGCCTGGTAGGTGAACAAATTAGAAGGTTTTCAGACTTCTTGCTGTAAATACAGTACTCAAAGTTATCTTTCCTTTTGTTTATGCCTGAAACTGATTCCACAGGGGCTCAACTTTCATCATGGTGAGTATTTCAACAGGAAAAGAAACTTTCATTTCACAAGCTTTATGCAAATCCAGAATGAAGTTAGGCTGCACTATCACACAGATACACTAGTGTGGGTAACATCCACACCAATCTGAGTTTTTCCTGCTATGAAGCAGCAAAAGAACTGCAGCTCCTGAGGGTCATGTATTCACTTGCTGTATCACCTCACTCCAAAGGCACCAGGAAATGTACAGAGACTTTACCTTAAGGATAGGCTCCATATATGGACGAATGAGGCGTGGAGCATTAGAAACAAGGTGACCCAACATCCTGGCACTTTGCTCTTTAATCCTGCCAACACCACTGTGCTCCAGCTCTGTTAGAATCTGCAGAAAAGCATGGAAACATGAGAACAGGGAAAATAAAGGTAGGCAAGAATTCTTCAGATTTCCTCCTCTCCTCTCCAATGAGAACAGAAAGAAAAAACAATCTCAGCACTTGTAAAGGGTGTTCCACATTTACACTCCATCAAGTCATTTATGTCTAAAGGAAGCTAAAATTAGTGAGTGTAAAACCATCTATGCTTATGAAGTCGTGCCATCCATTCATCTAAAAGAAGCACAGAACATTCTTCCTCAACACAGCACTCCAGAAGGATGAATGTGGGGAGAAACAGACTGCTATCCTTTCCTTTCTAACACATCCTTAGAGCTTCAGTCCAAGCATCTCTCACTAAAAGGACTCCCTGAAACCTAATAAGCTGGCTAATAAACATTTTCCAGAAGGGAGATATTCCCCCACTCTCCCACACATTTGCTACAGCTAGATAGCCCAGTTCTTGAACACCACCTTCACCTCAACACCAAGTACTCTGTTTTCACTGCAGGCACCCCTCTCCATACCTGGATCAGCATCTTGCGCAGGAAAGGCATGACAAAAGCAGGGTTCATGCTGCTCAGGCGACCCACAGTGCAGATGGCCAGCTCTCGGATTTCAAACACTTGGTCATTCAGGGCCACAAAAAGAGCTTGCAGGTTTTCTGCCTGGGCAAGGTGAGCATCAAAGCGCTCATCCAGAGAGGCCAACACGCAGAAACGGATATCGGGGTCTGCAAGGACACATCGGATTCTCTTTAAACACAGCAAACTCCTGCTCTTATTGTTGCCCTTCGTCACAAACTGGCCTCAAAAATTCTTTTCAGATCAGGGAAATGCTGAGAATTTCCCCAGCCTGAGACATTACATTAGTGTTTTACATGAGAAACAGGGCAGGTAAGCCCAAAAGACTCAGCGCTGCTCAGTATTGCCCCAGATTCTCTTTAAACACAGCAAACTCCTGCTCTTATTGTTGCCCTTCATCACAAACCGGCCTCAAAAATTCTTTTCAGATCAGGGAAATGCTGAGAATTTCCCCAGCCTGAGTGTTTCACATGAGAAAGAGGGCAGGTAAGCCCAAAAGATTCAGCGCTGCTCAATATTGCCCCAATACCCAGATCAGCACAACTCCAACCTCTTGCACCTACAGGTGGCACATTTGGAGGCACTGTGCAGAAAATGAATTCATCTCAGGTTACCACATTCCAACTGAAACAAATAAAAAAATCAAGTAGGAAGAGTCAACAGAAGGGACCAATTCATTCCCAAACTACAAAGCAGAAGGCCACAGCACAGAACAGCAAAAGAAGTCTCAGGGCTCCCCCTAGTTCAAAGGATTATCAAGAGCATGGTTTAAACATTTTATGCCAGTGTTCCATTAATACCTCAAAAATCCAAGATCTGGGAAAGGAAATTAGGAGACCTTTTTGATTTGTAAAGAATGACAGCTTAAGTTAGTGGCAAATACATGCAAATTCTACCACAACTTTAATATCCTGACCTGCTCACATGCCAAAACTAACATGCAGTAGGACAGCCCTTTTCTCTGAACCCCCCACTAACCTGGGTCAGTTATTCCAACCACGAGCAGCTTGCTGAGAACATCAGCCACGACCTGCACTGCTGTCTGGCTGACCACGTGGGCATGGCCACTGATGAGGTGGATGGAGGGGGTGAGCAGGCGGGAGCACGTGCGGGCTGCCTCCATCCGGATCTCCTTGTGCTCGCTGTTCAGAAAGTGGTCTGCACAGTGCCGAACGAACTGCGTCAGGGAGTGGCCTGGGGAGAGGAAGATGAGGAGTTTAACACAGGTTTACACCTCAGTTACTGGTCTTATCAAGGAAGAAAGTGTTCTCAGAGTTTTCCTGCTGCTCTGCTCCAACACAGCAGTGTTTATATGCCATATCCCTCGGCCCTCTGCTTCCTTATTTCATCTTACCTTCAAACTCGAAGCTACCCAGCGTCCGGAGGGCAAGGGTGATGCTGCCCACATCACTGGCCTCTGGGATGTTGGTGAGGCTAGGGGAGGCGAGCTGGTGGGCAAGGCCCTTTGGCATGCCTGGATGTCGCAGAGGTTTGTGCATCAGAACAAGGGAGAGCATTTTCAGCAGCCCATCCTGGATGTCCTTCTTTAGCTGGGGGATCTGGCGACTCAAGTCATACAGCACAGCTGTTAGGGCAGGGCTGCAGGAAAGGAGGTGGATAGTCATGAGAACACAACAGGAGGGGCATATTTCACCCTTTTTTTCATGTCTTTGCCTGTCAAAAGATACTCGTGGGTATTCACAGATCACAGCAACACCTGCTAGCAGAGCAAAGGGGGCAAGTTCAGGTGACCTTCTTGTACGAACTTGGTGAGCAAACTGCCAGAACTGCAGCACACATTGCTACATTGTGCAATACTGCTAGAATACTGTTACAAATCTTAAGGGAGTCCTTATACTTGTGCTTTTTTAGACACAAAGGTAACTAAGTTCACTTCCACATAGTAACAATCTAATCTAAACAGCTTAGTGCTGCGTGGATACTTTCTCCTTACCCTCCCATCCTAACAGCTTCAAGAGCCAGGAAGTTTCCTGTCAGGTTCAAAGTTGAAAGAAGCTAGCAGGAAATAGTCAGTGCTTCAGTTCTCCTTCCCTTCTAATTGGATATGGCAGAAATTCACTGACATTCAGAGGCTTTCAAAATTTTTTGCACGCTATTGTCAAGTGTGTTTGACCAGTTCAAAGTAAAGGAGATTACTTTTGAATTCACTTGTTCTACAACATTTCTTTACGCAGAGATCAATGCTTAAGTAACTCAACAGACATATTAACATTTAAAACATATTCTTTTTCTTCCAGAAGAGCTATACTGATCTTCTGAAAGACCACTTAAAAGCAATAAGCTTCCTTCTCGAACTGAAGCCTTTCAAGGTCTCAGTCTGAACGGCCAACAATGCCATCCAGTGGCTAACAGAAAGCTGTGCTCCTGTGCCTCGTGTTTACCTCAGGCCCACAGCCAGCATAGGTTCCAAAAGCTCTTTGATGTCCTGCTGGATACTGGGTCCCATGGCTCGTGCCAGCATACTAATGCAGGTGAAGACTGTGGCATCAACCTGCACAGACTTCTGCCTCCTGGAAAGGGACCACATAAAAGTTAATTAAGAAGAGCTGCTGAGCTTCAAACGTCCTTCCTTGTCCCATGTGTTGTCAGTCCTACAGAAATAACTCTGATTTTAATCCAATAATCTGATCCCACATCAAAAATTATACAAAAAACAGATGTTTCAATTTCTTCCTCTAACCTTCACATACTTACTTGTGGGCAAAGTCCTTTGGTGGAAGAGCTGCTTTTATGATTTCGAGGACTTTTGGCAGGTAAGCTTGAAACTCAGACCTCACGGCCACAGAAAGCAAACCCAAGGCCTGGAAGGCTGCAGTTCGCTCCTTCTCCTTCTTCACACAGCTGAGAACATGATTCATGGTGTCTGGAAGATACTGATCAGCTGCCCAAAAGAGAAACAATGCAGATATTTGCACTCATTTTGGTTTATACAGTTGCATCACATTCACAACTAAACCTTGACAAATATTAAACTAGGGCACAAATGTAGCTGTACAAAATTTGCTGACATGAGCAGTGGCAACCACGTGTCACCATAAAGTTTTTCAAAGCCCAGCTTTTCTTTAAAAAAAATTTCATAAAAATAAGAGAGCTATGAGGAAAACAAACAACATTGCAACAGATTCTACACACAAATAAAACACAGCACCTTGTTTTTATAGTGTCTGAATGGAAATTTGGAATAACACCACAAAGTTCGTTCCAACCCACTGAGATCAGCTTGAGGACCCGCCTCCAACTCTGATAACCTCCTAAGTTCACTTGATAAATCAACTGAACTGCTTTAAAGCTGGCAGGTTTTTCATTATTTCCAATTTTTACTTGATATTTCCTGGCACATGCAACAAACAAAAAGGAAGACAACTCTGCTGATAATATTTGGGACACAGTGGGAAAAAGAGAGCAGAGTTCAATGCTAAGCCTGACGTATCGAGGAAGAAAACCCAAAAGGAGGTTCTACCTCTTATGGTATTAATCACAAAATCCAGACAATAGATTTCAATCCATCTTCTTCACCAGAGCAACATTTTGGCATCAGACATCAAGTCACACTTATTCAGAAAAAAAGACAGTCCTCCCACAGAGGAATCTGCTCATCTTACAAGCACCACATTTGTCCTGCTGCGTTGCCTGCACAAGCTCATCTGGACCAGACAGAGCTGGCTAACTTCCAGCTCAATTTCAGCAACCCTTGGAACATCACCCATCTGCCTCGTCACCTGTGAAGGCTGAAGGGCGGAACGCCGCCAGCCGCGGGAGCAGGTTCAGAACCGTCATCTGGATCAAAGAATTTTTGCTGGTTCTACACTTGAGAACCCACTGGCACACCTGAAAGGAGACAGATTTGACTTTGAAGGATGGCCATTGGCAGTAGTGCACAAATGTTTATCACCCGGGTGGTTTAAGGCGTTCTACTAATGTCTGGCTTCAGCATGCATCAAAAAGATGGATAATTAACACTGCTTCCAAAGAGAGTAAATCACTTCCTCAGAGACAGTGACAAAGCCAGGATACATACAATTAATGAGTTCTGATGCCTCAAACCAGCACTAGGCAGTCTTGCCTGCCAACTAAGGACACTGAGGACAATTGCTCTACAGGAACCTGTGTTGTGAATGTTGGTAGACAAGTTGAAGACCAAACACTTACTTGATCAAACTTCTCTTCCATCAGATCCCTGCAGCAGCGACTTTCTACCAGCGTAGACTTCGCTGGGACAGGCGAGGTTGCGAAACCCATGATTCCTTGGTGGGCACTGTACCCCAGGAGACCAGCCAAAGCATTCGACTGGGAGGGCTGAAGAGACTGGAAGCTAGTAAAGGGCGTGATGTGGCGAGGTTTGGTACTGAAGCCCATCAGGTCTTTGCAGTACTTGTCATGCACAAGCTGCTGCTGAGTGATCTCTTCCATCTCCTCTCTAAGGCGCTGGACAAAGCAGAAAAGCAGGGTGTGTTTTTCTTTTTTTATTAAACAAAAAATAGATGAATAACAGATTCTTAGAGTGCTACCCACATCTCCTGAGCAGTGTCCTGTAGAGTTGATATCCAAATGGCTGTAGACCATCAGTTAAGCAAAATTCAGCAAAAAAATTTGGGTATCTAACATACAGAGTCATCATTGTTCATAATTTTTTTTTTTCCACTGTACTGAATCCATTTAATAGCAATTCCCATCAGAGCTTAGTACCTAGTCAAGCCAAACTTGTGGCTGTATTTCTCTGACATACTTCAGTTTGTAACAGTCAATGCTCTGACTCCACGTGCAGGTAACCTGTCATCCCAATAACCCCATTTCACACACAGTGAGGTATTTCCACACAGAGGTATTTCCACAGAGTGCCAAGTTGCTGCACACTGTCAATCAGTCTGACAACTGAAAGCCACAACCCCCACCTTGTTCATCTGCTCACCTCTCCCTCCATACTGCTGATTCTCACTAGCTCATTGAGGATCAGTAAGGCACCATGGATTCGGTCATCACGGTTCATTCCTTTCTCTTTGGCCAAAGTCTCATCAAAACCCTTTTCAGCCTCTTCATATGTATGCTTAGGGAAATAAAAAAACAAAACAAAGCAAAACAAAGCCTCAGGGATGATGCAGAAACAAAGCCTGTGGAAATAAAGTAGGGCTGCCAGTGCATTACGGATGTCCTGTAATTTTCCAAGAGTAGCCACAAACCTCAGCTGAGTAATAACAGAGTGTAATGCCACGAAACTCAGATTCACCTACAAGTTGTGGACTCTGCTGCAGAGCATTTTCAACAGCACTGATCAAACAGCCAGCCAACCATGCCTTGGAATAAACACTACCAATATCTGCATCACACATTTGACTTCGAGGATTCCAAGTTCACAGCATTTGACTGCACTGTCCAAACCTTAATTGATATTATGAAACTGGAGTTCACATGACAATGGCAGCAAAGCTGAGGTTCAGACACAAGAATCCTTACCTTCCTCACACATGTTTTATCTACACTAATAAAGCTATCTGCTAGTAAGGGATGACAATAGATAGATGATTTCATTGCTGTAAAGCTAGGTCAGGCTCAACAGCTGAAAAGGAGCTGCAGATAGAGCAATGGGTTCTTGATGAGTCAAGTCTCTTGATTACTTTTACAGTGGGCTACAAGAACCACTCATTTTGTAAGCCACTGTATTTTCAACCCTTTCAAGGGGGTGCTGATTTTCTACTGACAAAGTTGACACAGTTTCTTAGCTTAGACAGTTCTCCCAGAAACTGGCATTTGATCACTTGCATTGCATTATGAGGAGCTGTTTCAAAATAAGGCTGTTTTCTTACTCTGTACCACTGGGGCTTCTGCATCTCTTTTGGCTCCCGTTGAGTGGTGAGGATAAGGCAGGCTCTTAAGGCAGAAACAGCTCCCTCTCGGATGGCCTGTTTGGGATCCCACACAGCCACAAATATATTGTCAAAGAATGGCTGCACTTGTTGGAAGAAGAAGGTAGGCACGCTGATTGCCAGCTCACGCAGGACAAGAACCTGGAGGGGGGGAGAAAAACAGCAACAATTGGTGAGGATGAGCACCAAGAGACAGACCTCATAATTTCTAGACAGTAGTATTGTTTATTTAGACTGCCAATGTCAGTGCCCTGAGCTGTTTCCAGCTCCATACTTTTACAGTTCCTAGCACAGTGGTGTCTCGATCTTCTTTAGTCCCTGGCAGCCACTCTGATCCTGACCAGAGCTCTTCTGCAGCTTTCTGTGCACATCTCCTACCACAGTTAACTAACCCTAACCACCCTGTTTGTTCCAAGACACTTGAAGACAAAAAAGGATCACTTACAGCTGCGTGTCTCCGACCTTCATTCCTGTCAGCTCCCAGCCACTCCAGAGCTCGTTTCACCTCAAACTCCACGTACTCAGCTGTGAAGGTGTCACCGGCCATGGCAAGCCGCCCGATAGCCTTGGAGGCCATCTCCATCACAACAGGGTCATTGGATGGCAAGAGGTTCCTCAGGTAGTTGGCAAACCTGCCAATACGGGTGGCATTACCTCCTTCCACACCAATAAGGCTCGCTGTAGAGAAAGGGAACAATGCTGCAGGTTCTCTCCACAGTCAGTGAGGCAGACAGGAGGTAATCCCTGCATGAGAGTTAGTATTCACTATCTGTTCCTTAGAGATTCCCATTAACTCCTCCTAAACTGCAAATCCACAGGGGGAAAAAAGAATAATCAAGCAACAGGAAAGGGTCACCACTCTTTTGAGCCTGAACCTGTTCAGTGAACAGGAAAATGCATCCAGCACCTTAACAGATTTTCCACGTTTTCAGTTTAAAAAGGAAAAAAAAATAATCTGCCCTGGGATCACAGCCTCATTCCCAATAGAAAGGCATCAATCCACATGCAAGTGCTCCTCAGCAGAAAAGGCAAAGACTGAAAGGACCAAGGAACTGCTCTCCCTTTCAGCCCTGGAGATGGCCTCTCCTGGCCAGGGTGGAGACACCTTGGCAGGTAGCAGAAGCTTTCACTGCCAATGCCTGGTTTGTACCTGCTCTGTAGATAAAGGGGCCATCAGTGTCCAGGGTTGTCAAACCCACACCTTTCAACAGCACTAAATCCACAGAAACAATTTTTAAGTGATATCATCAGATTAAAATCAGATGTTGTTAACAAAGATTTCTCTAGCTAGGGGACTTCCACTATCTTTAACCACATTAGGATAGGATGATTATGTCTGTGAGCCTAAATCATATGCACCTCCTATTTGGTTATTAAAGAAACAACTACTACAATCCAGGCCACTTGCTTGGAAGGCAAAGTATTTATGTGAGGTAATTTCCCTAGGAGTCAAGCTGCAGGCAGCTCTGCCATGTCACAGCAAAAGCACAACCAGAGCAACTGAGGAGGCACCCGATGAGAGTCAAAGCAGGAGCAATGTGAGCCCCTCCCAGGGACTGAGCCAGGGAAATTTAAATAACATCAGTCTCCTCAGACAGGAGAAAGCTGAGAAAGTCAGCCCACCCTGATACATATAAATGGAGAGCACAAACTGCTCTCAGCTGAGCTCAAGAACAGGATTTCAATGTGCTCAGCACTCACGGCTGATCCTCAGCTCCTGCAGAGCTCAGGGCCCATTAGGCACCAGATTTCCAGCTGCTCTCAGCAGCTCCCATGCTGACACTTACAGACAGATTCTCAGAGGCCAGCAACTAGCCATGCACACAGCACACTTAGCAGTCAGACGTAAGGCCCCCATGATAAGATCTTATTCCTTTTGAAAATCTGTCCCTAAAGATAGATGCATGAAGAGAAAACTCACCAGAGGCACTGAGCACTTTCACTCACCTATAGCCAGAATGCCACCCTTCCTTTCATTTGCATCCGAGCTGGAAACCAGCTCAAAGATGTGATGGTTCAGCTGATCATAGAACCTGGTAGATTCTTCCTGACTCATCTAGAAAGGCAAAATGTTCAAATCAGCTTCCAGCATTCTTTCCCTCCTTCCTGCCCCCCAAATCTCCATAAAGACAACGCTTCTTAGGTCACTTCAGCAGAAAGAAATTAGATCAACCACACATTGCAAGCACAAAACAGTCTCTCTTCTTTGTGCCCTAGACAGTCCAGAGGGGTGAGTGTCCACTCACTCATCTGCACCACCACACATTCACCTCTCCTCCACGCTAGGGCACAGGTGAACTCCCTGCTCCAGCCCACCAGTTTCCCCATTCCAAAAAATCTCCATTCCCAGAGTCCCCAGGCTGTACCCTACTCTCCCTAAACCAGGATGAATGATCTCAGTGTGCACTCACCTCACGGAGCTCCATGGTGACATAATGCTGCAGGTCCTTGGCAGCTTTCGCCCTCGTCTCTTCGCTGCGACTCTTCAGGCCATTGGCAAATTGCTGGAGAATGGACACAGTGCCCGACATGCTGGCAGGACAGTGGGGCTCGGGGCATCAAGTCCTGTAAGTTCTTCAGGGAGGTGCTTTTTTTTTACTGCTTTCAACTATTGAAATCTCTGAGCTTCTTTCTTAGTGCTGCCCTCGCTGTTTGTTCCCCAAACACACATCCTATCACATGTGAGGATGCTGTGCCAAGAGAGCATAAAATCACAAGAAATTACTGTAATTCTTTGGCCTGACAGCCCTGTGATAAAGCTGTATCACCACATAATATCTTGACCCCCAGCCTATTTGCTCTCTAATGCCTCAAATACCAAAATATGCTCCAGTAGGTCAGGTGCCCAACCCCATGATCTAATTCTAAATCCAGGGTCATGCAAGAGCTGAAAAATAGCAGGGTCAGGTTATGATTTACAATCACCCTACAATAAGTAGGCACAATCATCCCCACGATTATATCGTTAGCATATCTGACTCTTTGAATGTTTGCATCCAAGTTTCTCCACAGAAATTCTAACGTTATGCCAACACAAGGAGGACTCAGCACTTGAGGCCTGGCAAGCATTACCAGGAGATATTTAGAGATGGGAAGTCTACTTATAGCAACACCCATCATTGCAACAGGATGTTTACTATCATAACACGCAACCAGACTTTCACACGAGTCCTTCTTTACGAGGAAAAGATTTCAGAGGTGTGAACCCCTCGATTTGCAGATCACAGAAGCCCAAACGGAGCACTTAACAGAAGGGCTCGCAGTGATACGAGACAGCAAAACCTCAATTCCTTCCCCAAATATTCCCCGTGATGGCAGCAAGATCCACCGAGATAACACCCTAAGGCGGCTCCAGGGCTCTCCCGCGCTTGGGAGCCCGGAGAAGCT